TTCTTTCTTTCTTTCTTTCTTTCTTTCTTTCTTTCTTTCTTTCTTTCAATTTCAGCTACTGAGACCTATCAGCCTAGTGACTTCCATTCGCGGTACTATTTTCTTACCAACACTGTTACCAGATGGTTAACATAGCTATGGCCAAGGTCACCTTTTCATTCTGTTTCTTCTGCTTCATTTTTCACATCTTCTATTTTTAAATAGGTTACTGTAGGTTGGTATTCTCCGGTCTACGGTTCCTCCAGAGGTTTGAGTTTCCCAAATTTTACTACACTGGTAATATATGTGTTGGAATATGCAGGCCTGCTCTACAGAAAACCAGCTCATCCTGCTACAGCCAGCCCAGCTTTCACTAAGCAATGACAAAAATCATTAGATGTCACAGGACGAGAAGCACGCTGACTAAATTATACATGGGCTGTCTCTGAAGGCGCGTGTGGTTCACTGGTCATGGTGGGATCTGTGAAGAAGTGCTGGGAGAACTTTTAAAAAACAATTAATCACTAATCAGTCGAGCAGTTTAATGTATTTAGTTCAAATCCTTATAATTGATATTTAGGAAACTATGTGTGAGATACAGCCCTCTTGAAGGGATTACACTGATTAAGGATTAATAGTCAGATGTTTGTTGTAAGAGCTGTTGAGGCAGGATAGGATTAGTAAAATAAGATGCAAAGTACAGACACAATTTTATTTACCCTATTTTTTTCTACTTTACAAATATTTTAATTGGATATAATTAAACCCCCCCCCCCCCCCACTTTTAAAGGTCCTACTTCAAGGCCCTTTAAAAAGTGTAGTGCTGCATTAACATGAAGCAGTCACATGGGGGATACATTAGAGTGTCAACCCAAAAGTTACCCAAGAATTTCCTTGCGGTGTACTTCACAGCCACCACATTTCTTGGAAAATTCAAATACCGAGGAAGAATACTCAGGAAATGATAAGAACAATCCTAGCCCCAACAAACAAAACTGAAAAAGATCATTCAAACGTGAAATTGTTTTAAAACAGGAGATTTTCAGTACGCTGACATTTCAGTGCAGTATCTCACTGCAATGCCTCCTCTTTGAAAATGCAATATTGCGAGCGTACAAACAGGAATCTTGTTTGTAACACAAAGTTAGTACACTGCACTCAGAGGTCCTTTGGATCATGTGCTGAGTGCTGCAACTACCTTGCAAGGGGACTCCATTCATTTTCAAAAGCCTATGATAAAAACTGCATAAAACTGAATACAGACGCATCAGTAAAACACATATTCAGGAACCACTTCTGATAAAGGAATGCTTATTTAAATGCAGAACACGCACTGGTCTTTCAGAATGGGATTTGGCATTTTAACACATTTCCACCACTCAAAGTTCTATTTTGTTTCCTTTGTTAATAAAGGCTCAAATTATACAGATGCATTTCTCATGCAGAGCTGTTTCACATGATGCTAAGCATTCTGATTCCATCTCTCTCCCCTCAGCTCTAAAGACATTCATCACTTGACAGACTTCTCAGCTTTTAACAGGACTTCACTGTAAGGAAAGAAGCTAATATTTCAGGGCAGAGGAGGTATGTAAGCCCCTCTGCTTCTGTTTCTGAAGGTCATTTTTGATCAGCTGCTCCTGTTTTATTCCTACATAGTATTATTTGCAAACAGCCAGGCTGGAGCCTCAGCAGAGAAGAGATGCTACCTCAGTGGCAATCCACTGATCACAGCTGCACAGTGATGCTATATGCACAGCCTGGTTGTTTTTCTGGAAAATAAAACTAAAAACGAGGAAAGAAGTGGTGAGGGAACTTTCCCTAAGGTATTATTCAACCACATAATGCTGCAAATCCACGGAGCCTGATGGCAGCACTCACATTTGTTGCGCTGTATCACACGAAGGAGTACTCCAGGCTGCCAGGGGCAAAGGGAATGTAATAACAGATAACAAAGAAACGTATTTCTTAAAAGCACGTATTTACTTACAAGCATTTGTCACTGAAAAACTGTTGGAAGAATCCAAGTGATCTACGTGGTAGTTCAGATGGAAGGGCTTTTCGGTGGTGTTTTGGTTTGTGTTGTATAACTGCACAGCAAACCGAAACGCGCTGTGCTCCTGAACAGTGTTTCTCATGAAAAGTCCACCTAAGAGAGGAGAAAGCAGAAAAAAAAGAGAAGGAAGAAGGCATTTCAGAGCGGGTTGTTAGCGCAGGCAGCGGCAGTAAGTTACATTTGCATATCGCGCATCTCGGCGGGGAACGGACAGCACCAAGCTACGAGAGTGCAGTTGTGGCAGGGCGCGCACGGAACGCTGCTCCGAGTCCGAAGTTGGGCTGCGAGGCTCACGCACATCGCAGCCCGGTGCCCCGGAGCCACCCGGAGCTGCAGCACCGCGACGCGGCCACCGCCGATGCCCGCGGGGGACGGGGCGGCGCAGCCCGGGAGCGGCGGTGCGGACCTCCGGAGCTCCGCCGGAGGGTTGCGTGGCACGGGCAGGCGGGGTGCGGGGTGGGCGAGGCGCGGTGCGGACTGCCAGCCGTGCGGAAGCGGGGCTCGATGAGCGCGCACGGCTGAGCGCTCCCGTCAGGGAGGAAGGAAAAAAAAAAAAAAAAAAAAAAAAAAAAGGCAAGTTTCCTCGCACGCACGGCCCCGAGGCTCATTCGGCCGCAGGTTCGGGGCACGTCGCTGCGGATCCACGCCATTCAGCGCTCCGCGGCACGGGATGCGCTGCCTCAGGGCGCGATTCCGCAGGAGCACGGAGCAAACCCCGCGTCGCCGAGAGGCGGACGGAACGCATCGCGGCGACCGCCGTACACCGCTCCCGGCGGCGGGCGCGGACCTTTCCCCGTCTCCCCACGCTGCCCGGCGCCGCTCGGGGCGGCGGAGCGCTTACCGATGCTGATGGTGTTGGGGAATCCTGCCCGCGCCTCGCCCAGCAGCCCCGCCAGCAGCAGCAACACGGCCCGGCCCGCGCGCTGCCCCATTTTCTTCAGCCGCTGCGGTTCAGCCCTAACACCGAACCGGCGGCACGGGCATGGATGGGCGCGAGCGGAGGCGCGGAGCGGTGTCAATGGTGGAGGCGATGCTGGTGGAGGTAGTGAAAGGATGCTCCCCTCCTTGCTTCCCTTCTTCTTCTTCTTTTTTTTTTCTTTTTTTCTTTTTTTTTTTTTTTTCCTTTCCCTTCCTCAGCTCCCTCTCCTCCTGCCTTCACCCCAGCCGGGCAGGGCTCATTGGCTGTCAGGTTGCCTTTCTCCCCCGTCTCCGGCAGCCCCCCCCCCCCCCCCCCCCCCCCCCCC